TTCAGATATTTTTTAAACCCCCAAATCATCAAAAGGGCTTTTTTAAAGTTGCTATAATTATCGATAGTGTGATTTAATTTCTTTTATTAGCCAAAATGTTAAGGTTTGGCAAAAAAATTAATAGTGGGAGAAATCTATAAAGGAAAAAAACATTGTTTTACCGAACTGTAGCCTTTGATAGTTAAGCATGGATCACTTTCCTCTTCATTCTAAAATATTCTCCAGCTGTCTTCACATTTTTTATTTTTATTTTTTAAGAAAAACAGTATTTTGTTTGAAGGTAATTATCAAATTTAGCCTGTTGTAACTAAAGGCATCACTAATGGTAACAAAAGCATCACCCTGTTTATGTGATTTCTATGTACGCTAATAGTGTTGTGTGTCTGACTTAAACAGGTGCAGAGCCATGAGATAGCCGCTCAGTCAGCCAGCCTGGTCTTTGTTTGTGTTCACAGAGAACATTATGACTTTCTGGGGACACTTGCACCTCAACTCAGGGGGAAGGTACCTTACTATGCAGTTGCACAGTGTTGTGTGTCATCTGTGTTATTTTCTAACTTTTTAACCATTGCACTGACATTCATTGCCTGGAAGGTGCTGGTGGACGTCAGCAACAATCTGAAGAAGAATATGTACCCAGAGGCCAATGCTGAGTATCTGCAGAGGTGAGAAATTTTTAGATGATCTTGTCTTTTAGATGTGGTAAGGGTTTTCAGTGGCTGGCAAAGCATGATGTTTGTTATTTACTGTCTAGGTTAGTCCCCGGGGCCCATGTGGTGAAGGCATTTAACACCTTGTCAGCCTGGGCTCTTCAGAACGGACCTTCAGATGCCAACAGACAGGTAGTGGATCTATTTGTGATGTCAACATGTTTCTTTGAGAGAAAAATATACCCAGTGTTTTTCTTCTCAGCTCATCAAAAATTCATTATTCCTCTTTTTCTGTTGTGATCTTCTATTTCAATTTTAGGAACTCCTTTGTTTGACAGATTTTTTTTTATTCCATCAAAGGGAAAACAAGCTTTTTTTTTTATTTCTCTGATGTATTGGCACAGTTGGTGCTACTAGGGAAGAATTTCTGTCTAAATCTTAATCACTCACTTTGAACCATTCATCAGACCAAATTTAAGAGACATAATTTAAATATAGGTATTCAGTCTTATTCATTTGCTGTGAAATCCATCTCTGTTGTCCTTGAATCAATGAACTCATCTTTTCTTAGATCTAAACCCAGCATCACGTGTTTTCCTCTCTCTCTGTAGTGCAAAGCTGCAGCACATGTGGATTTTTCTGCTTTGTTTTGATCTGCTTGTTAGGTCTCCGAGGACCACACAAAAGTGTGCAAGTTTATGCATTTGGGTGTTTTGTATTTGAAGCTCTATCAGCAACATTACAAAGGTGTTGACTGAGCATTGTTATTTTATACCTGCTTTTTTTGACTAAATTTAGTATTTTATACCAAAACTCATGCTGTCTTTGAGCGCTTTTATGTGCATTTCTCCAGAGTCAACCACATCCTTTCATCACTGTCTACACATGCATAAATACATAAATATTGAATTAACACTATGAACACTATGCTCAACATAAGAGATGTTCAGAGCTGTAAGAACCTTTTCATGTTCCAGGTGTACCTGTGTGGAAACAGTCCTGAGGCTAAGCAGGCGGTTGCAGAGATTGCCACCAAACTGGGCTTCACTGTTCTGGATAGAGGGTCTCTCTGTGCAGCTAGAGAGCTGGAGGACTTCCCCCTGCAGCTGTTCCCTGAGTGGAGAATGCCCATGCGCCTCACCATTGGGCTTACTGCCTTCTTCTTCTTCTATCTTCTCATCAGAGATGTCATCTATACGTATGTTGACCAGAAGAAAGACAATTCCTTCAGAATCATGGTGTCTCTGGCCAACAAGGTGAAGACAGACGTTAGAAAATGAACACTTTATGTTTCGATCATGTCCCTCCATGTGTGATCTGTTAAAGCTGAACTATATATATTTTTTTCTATTTAAATTATCCTCCTTTTTTAAGGTGTTTCCAATCG